TGCGGGGGGGGCTGAGGTGGGGTCCCACAGTGCTCACCCATCTGCATGCAGATCTCCCCAATAGCCCAGGTCGCATTGTTGCAAACGGAGATGAACTCGGGGTTGAGGTTGGTGCCCAGGATGGGCATGAACTCGGCTGGGGGGAAGTCAGGGTCAGCACCAGTGCACCCCCCCAACCAACCCAGCATGTTTTTTTGGGGGGTCCTCCCCTGCTTCATCCCCCTCTCCCCCCCCAGGGGTACCCCCTACAGCCCCAGCACCCACCAATGCAGGGCTTGACGTGCACGAAGCAGGCCTTGGTGAGGTCACCCAGGAGGGCAAAGGAGCTCTGTCGTACCTCAGGCATGGTGTCCTGGGGGGAAAAGGCAGGGGGTGAGCGCTAGGGGGAGGTCCCCAGTGGCCCCCCAGTTGGAGTAGGGGGGTCCTTACCTGCATGCATTGGAAGAGCAGCGTCATGATGTTGCTGCGAGCCACCAGCTGCTCCACGTGGCAGCCGAGACCCTCAGCCAAACCACTCAGCAGGTCCAGGGCCACAATCATGAAATCCTTGTCAGGGGCCTCATACTGCTCAGGGTGCTGGTTATACATCTGCAGGGAGGGGTGTGAGGGGGTCACACTCCATGAAAGGGGGGGTGTCACACCCCACGGTGATGGGGAAAGGGTGGGAATCGCGGCTCACCATGGCCTGAGCCAGCGTCTTCTGGACCAAGGTGACGCAGCGCTGGTAGACGGGCTCGCAGTAGGGCAAGAAGCCGCTCTGCAGGGCGGTGGCCACCGAGGACAGGCACTGCGACACAGCAGGGGGGTGGGAGGGGGTTTGAGGGGATGGAGACACCCCCCCCCACGGGTGCCCCCTGCGCCCCACAGCTCACCTCCAGCAGCGGGAAGAGGTCCTTGTCCTCGTCCTTCAGCTCGTTCCACTTCTGGATGAGCGGAGGCATCAGCTTCTGGATGTACTCCTGCGCCCCGGGGAGAGACCCATCACGGGGGGACACACACACACAACAAGGACAGGGGGGACACGGCCATGGAGGGGTGTGGGGCTGCTCCCCCTCCACCCAGGGACCATCAGACCAGAGAGATCCACACTGGGAGTTCGGGATTCGAATGTCTGTTGTCACTTGTCATCACTGGTCCTGGGTTGGGGTGTGGGGGAGGGACACACCATGGGGGTGGTGGGGAGGCGGGGGG